AAGAAGTAATTAAAGTAGGGAGTATAGTTATTTAGTTTTTTGATGTGAGGACCTTTTGTTTTGTTTTTAGAAAAAAATTCTATTTCAGTAGAAGCGGAACAATTTTTGGTTAAAGATTTTTTTTGTCACGGGGCCCGTTCTACAGAATTGTCCGGGGGCCCGGCCTGGCTCTCGGCGGCCCTGTTGATGATGGCCTTATGAAGGGTAAGTAACTGTATTGGTTAAAAGCATGGTAAAAGTCAAAAGGCTTTTAACTGCCTCAGACCCAACTCCAACAGTGCAGGAGGGCTCCGTCCCGCTTTCATGGAGACACCGATGATAGCTTGCTACATACTCAACGAGTGGACATGTATTATGAGCCCAGTCTCGCATTGCTGTTATTCATTATTCAGTATTCATTGTAATTTTTTACTTTTACATGTTAATTTAGAATATCTTATGAATAATTTTTTTGAAGAAGAAATGTTTTCTGTATTATTATATAGCAGAATTAAATGAAATGTCTACAATATTCTATATTGAAATGCCTTCTGTTTTTGTATAGAATTTATAGTTCAAACGGTACTACTGGTCAAAGAGGCACTAGCGAATATCCTGTCTGGTCATGTGCCTGACACATGGCCTTTATTCAGCAGTCAGTATTAATACGGTAAAAGGCCAGCAATTTCCCGTTAACTTCCCATCAATAGGCCATTGCCAATATATTTATTTTTAGGCATTAAAGGGACAATGAAGACTTATTAACTGGATTTAGTGGCTAAGTGACTTCGGCCCGAATGTCGGCCGTATTGACCTATATATGCCGGCCTTTTAATTATAAAAGTTAAATGGCCATCATTACAATTGGAGGGTAATAGTTATTGGGCCTTTTATTGCCCTGCACAAAGTGTTTGCTGGGCAGAGATAATAATGTCAGAATTGTGTGTTTACCGCTACTGGACAAGACTTTTATGGGACCATTCAAAAAACATTACAGTGAGGAGATAAGAACGTGGATACGATAATATGGTCGGTTTCGGTAAAGCTTATTTAAGAGTTCATCGCGATGAAATTGCTGTTAATGGTTTTCAAGCCACCGGAATTTTTCCTGTTGGATCTTCCGAGAATCTGACTTTCTTGCCTCCTTAATTATCGAGTAATATGTGGTTGCTCCTCTTCCAGAACCTGAAGCTCCCGAAAACCCGACTCCACCAGTAGAATTCGTAACTCCTACGATGGTTTCGTCTGTTCCGTGCTGTCGTAATAACTGCATCTCCCTACAAAACAGAACTTGAATCTTCCATAGGGCTTTCAATGTCAACTACGTCTAAACTTCAAATAAAACGAAAAATTGGCAAGAACAAAACACATTTGACTGATCCAGCTACTCCCAGCACTTCAACCACCAACCTACAGAGTCAATTTTCAGTTCCATCTACATCTAAACTTCAAATAAAGAGGAAATATGGCTAGGGTAAAATAAATCTGACTGATGTAGCTACTCCCAGCACAACAACTACTATTTTACTAAGCGTAGGACAAACAAAGCAGGATATATTGTAACCGAATCAAGAAGCTCTTCTGAAGAAGATTTGGTGGCGGATGATGATTCATTATTTACTGGGGAAGATGAAGAACAAAACCCAGAAGTTGCAGAAAATCCTGAGTGCCTGTTCTGTGGTGGAAAGACAGCAAAAAATCTGAAAAACAGTGGATATAGTGTAAATTTTGTAACGCATGGTGTCATTTGCAATGTACCTTGTTGGGTCCTTCTCGTTGATTTCTCCAATCAACTCCAACACTCACGTCAGGGGAGGACGTTTTGGTCAAATCAATTTGCATTCACAATGACATCCCTTTCAGTTGTATATCACAATTAACAATAACTTTTACCACTTAGAGTTTGTTGAGGCAGTGAATTGAGGAAACCAATCTTTTAGTAGAATAAGTGTGATGGACATCCACTCACCTCAAACGATTACATTACAATTCTCATGGAGGAAGGATACAACTATTAATTTGACCCTTTTATTCTAACTTTCGGCTCCAACCAAAAAAAGTAAGTTCCCTATTTACTTTGTTACGAGCAAAATTTAAATAATTATACCTATAATTGGCTATTGCACCTCAGCCATTGTAGGGGTGGTTATGCCTTTCCCAATCTACCATTATGCAACCAGTATTACACCTAACTGTACATATGGTTGAGTTTACAATATACTCTTTTGGATGGTTCCACAACATAGCTCTTATACAGGGTGTCTGTAAAAAGTCTTTACAAAAACATATCACATTCCTTAGACCAAAATAAGTTGATTTAAGTAAAATTACCTTAGTACAAAGTTGCTTCGTTTGGGCTCCAGAGGGCCTTGAAGTTACAATTTTTAAATCGTTTTTCCCATCTAAATTTAAAACGGCATATGCGATTTTGCTGAAATTTGATATACTGGTAGAGTTTTATGTGACAAAAAAATGGTATTAAAATTGTGTCCGATAATAATACATAGGCGTAGAACTTGATTTTTTAAATAATTGCACCTTTAAAAATTCTACGCCAATGGAAGAAAAGGAGTTTGAGTATGAAATTTAGATTGCGCAACTCATTTACTTTAAAAAAGGTACTCTTGATAAGACTCGATTATTCTCATGGTTTTGACGAAATTTGCATTTTAGTTATTTTAGAACATAAACAATAATTATTAAAATACAAACTTTGTCAAAACCATGAGAGTAAATCGAGTGTTATCAAGGGTAATTTTTTGTAGTAAATGAGTACCTAATCCAAATTTCATACTCAAACCCCTTTTCTGCCATTGGCGTAGAATTTTTAAAGGTGCATTTATTTAAAAAATCAAGTTGTACGCCTATGTATTATTATTGGACAAAATTCTATACAATGAAAAACATAAAAATGTACTTTTTTCATATCTTCTTCAACACCTCTATTCGAGACTTTTAACAAAAATACTCGATTCTTGCCATGTAGGATTTTTTGAGGAATATTAATTATTTGCCTGCAATACGTATTTGTTAACGATTGAAAGTGTTCCATCTGACTCAATAATTAAAAAAACAAATGCGTGGTTTATTAATATGGCTGTACAATATACCAATGCAGAATATACAGATATGTTACTGACATTAGGATTTTGTGAAGGAAATGCTCGAGAGAGTGACAGGGTGTACTCTGAAAGGTTTCCAAATCGCCGTGTACCTAGCCACCCAACTTTTGCTGCTGTTGAGAGACGTCTTCAGGAGACCGGTTCCTTTGCTCCCAACACTGTTGATAATGGAAGAGAACGTTTTGTAAGGATTCCTGAAGTTGAAGAAGACATTTTAGAAAGTGTTGAAGAAGATCCAGAATAAAGCACCAGACGAATTGGAAGGGAACTAGGAGTAAGTAAAGATGTCGTTCATAATGTGCTTAGAGAACAATTGCTATATCCATACCATAAGAAGCCAGTACAAGAATTATTAGTCCATGATCCTCAAATTCGTTTGGGTTTTTGTCGATTTGTTAATATGCAAAGAGAAAGAGATCCAAACTTTGTCAAGAAGGTTCTCTTTACCGATGAAGCGGGTTTTACAAGAAGAGGTATAACTAATACCCATAATGAACATGCTTATGCCGTTGAAAATCCGCATGCAATAAAGGTAAACCATTTTCAGCACGAATTCAAAATTAATGTGTGGGCTGGAATAATTGGTAATTTCATTGTTGGTCCTGTCATACTTCCACGAAGATTAACTGGAGAAAATTATTTGGATTTTCTACAAAATACGTTGCCAGAATTGTTAGAAGATTTACCTCTCCAACTTCGGAGAGATATATGGTTTATGCAAGATGGAGCTCCACCACATTTTTCTTTAAACGTTAGAAACCACTTGAATGAACAATATCCACACAAATGGATAGGCAGAGGTAATGACGCACCTGTAAACTGGCCACCACGTTCCTCAGACCTAACACCGATGGATTACTTTTTATGGGGACATCTGAAATCCACAGTTTACAGGGAACCTGTAGAAAATGAGGAACAACTCTGGCAACGTATTCAAGATGCAATAAACAATCTTAGAGGTGATGAAGAAGTTATGGAAAGGATACATTTTAATTTTCTTCGACGTATAAATCTTTGTATACGTGAAAATGGTGAACATTTTGAACAATTTTTATAAAATCTCTATTTTGATTATGTTGTAAATAAATATTTTTGTGAAACCTACTAAATTATTAAAACAGAAATTTAGCGAAAACCATGAGAGTAATCGAGTCTTATCAAGAGTACCTTTTTTAAAGTAAATGAGTTGCGCAATCTAAATTTCATACTCAAACTCCTTTTCTTTCATTGGCGTAGAATTTTTAAAGGTGCAATTATTTAAAAAATCAAGTTCTACGCCTATGTATTATTATCGGACACAATTTTTAAACCATTTTTTTGCCACATAAAACTCTACCAATATACCAAATTTCAGCAAAATCGCATATGCCATTTTAAATTTATATGGGAAAAACGATTTAAAAATTGTAACTTCAAGGCCCTCTGGAGCCCAAACGAAGCAACTTTGTACTAAAGTAATTTTACTTAAATCGACTTAATTTGGTCTGAGAAATATGTGGTATGTTTTTGTAAAGACCTTTTACAGACACCCTGTATATCTGGTATCTATATTTTAAAACTCTACACAAATTGGGTACCATCTTCTTTGTTTTTTTAACCCTGTATAGTTATTAATCTTTTGTACCTTTTTCGCGTTGGAGAAATATATTTTATTAATTTTGCAGCTCTTAAAAAAGTATTCCATATTTGTCGCCCTTCCTCTACATGCTTCTGAATTAAATCCAAAATATCATTTATAAAAGGATTGTATGCCCCGACATTATTTATTACATTGTTTTTTCCATTGCCTACTTTAGAAACATTTTTTGTGGTTTATTCCATGTTTTCTATATCGATCAATTGCTATTAAAGATTATCAAATTTTCATTTTCCTTTTTAATATAATTAATGCACATTGAATAAAATTCAATTTTTTTTATTACAATCAAATACTCATATAAAATTTACCTATATAAATTAATAAAAAAACTATGATTCGATAACAATAACGAAAATTCCTAAATTATTTGTACTTATTTTTTAGTAAAAAATAATGAGCCATTGACATGTTTTCGGGTTTTATATTGCTATCTTTGTCGTCTTCGAAACGAGCTATAATGCTTTTCAAACCATCTATCTCTTTCTCGTACTGACCTTTCATCGTTTCAATAGTGTTGGCTTGATCTTGTATCGTCTGTTCAACTGTAGCGAAGTCTTGCCAGGCATTTTTCTGAACATCCTATAAAAATAAATGTATTGTCTGTCATACACTGAGTAAGTCTGAGAAATATCTACTAAGAATTACCTATATAGACATTTAGAAACTTCAATGCAATGAGGGCTAACAGATAAAGTTTTTCCCACTAGTTTGTGTTACTGACACGTATGAGGTCTTTCAGTTTTTCTTCGTTGTTTAAATTAATTTTCTATTTGGTGACTTACATTAACGTTGAAATGCCAAAGTGTGATGTAAAGAACTGTATTTATAATAAAAGTGCTAAGTGTGAATCTGATAAATCTAAGTTCATTTTGTAGCACATTTTTTGACAGTTTTATTTGTTTATTTGAAAATAAACAGAACCGGATTTAGCAATTGATATACGTTACCAGTTGTAAATGTGAAAATTTGGATAACTGTTTACTATGTTTTGTTCTATTGGGAATCTTTTTTCAAGAAGTGAAAAAAAGTAACAAAATAAAACACAAAAATATCAGTTTTGTTACCAATTTATTTATAAATGGCTTAAATATTTATTCGGTATTGCTATCAACAAAAGTCAAAAAATGTCTTTTAAAAGTGTGTGTATAGTATCTATAACGTGTGAAGGATGAGTTACCCCCACGGTACTTAGGCCTCACTAGGCACATTGTGCATCATCCTAAGATGGTAGACACCTTCTAGCTCGTGAGCCATCCTACAGATTTAATTTAATTGACAACGTTGCCAAGAGGTACTTTTATTATATCGGCTGGTGTTAGCCGATACTCGCCGAACACAAATCTTCTAATAAATGAGACCGTCGAGCAAGCGTGAAGGATATGCTCGAGGTCCCATTTTCTTGTTTGCACCCTCTGCAGAGTGCGGATTCTGACAGCCCCATGATATGGAGATGCTTTCGTACTTGACAATGACCAATCAGAATGCCTGCAGATTCTGTCTATTCATAGTCAAGTATTTGTTTGCTGCAATGTTGTCAGGATAACTTAAGAGCTCCTTGGCAACTCTGCATTTTCTTGTTTCATTCCATCTTCTCTTGAATTTCACAAGGGAATGTTCTTTAATTAGGTCTCTCACCACCGATTTTGGCAGGCCAATAGAAGGGCCAGGTCCAAAAAGTATTTGGTTGTCTGCTTTCTTGGCTAGTGAATCAGTAAGATGGTTACCTTTCGATGTGGAGTGACCTTTGATTCATCTTAAGTCCACCTTAAGTTGATCAAACTGTTGATGGATACTTCGGCCAAAGCTTCGTGACATTCTAATACTAACCCTTAGTAAATTATTCGTCTGTTCAGGGTAAGTAGTGCTTGTCTGCTATCGGTATAGATGAGCATGTTTCTTCCAGTGATATTGTATTGGTAATTTCTTTTACTACTATGAGAATCCCCGTTAGCTCTGTTTGAACTACACTAGCACCATTGCTCACAGCCAATTTTATATTTTAAGAATCTGGAGTATATTCTACATCCTGAGCCTTGTTTTGTTTTGGAACCATCGGTATAGTTATGAATCGCACCTGCCACTTCCGGCTCTTCTATTTGTTTTGTTATAATTTTATATGGCTTATGGAAGATAAACTTCGGTGAGATGGAGTCCATGTTTGCTTGAAGCAGTGGGAGCTTATCGAGCGCCTCCTGCCAAAAGCGACGTCTCGCCTCACCAGATCCTACATCAGGTTCTATTCCAACCGTGCGCACGCGTGTCATTGTCGTCAGAGCAACCTGATGTAAATAACAATGGGAGTGAGACTACGAATAACTTCCAAGGCTCTGGTCGGTGTTGTTTTCATGGCTCCTGTTATGTTGAGACATGCTGTTCTTTGAATTTATTCTAGTTTACGGATAGCTGTTAATTTTTGGGTTTTCGGTACCAAGACAACTTCACCATATGTTAGGTCTTATAATAGCCGTGTGCGCCCCACGGTTCGGCGGCATGGTTTATAAGCAATGTATGCTCTGTTGTAAAGTTTAGTTTTGTGTTTAGGAGTTCTAGGGGTTCTAATTCCATTTTCATCCTTTTTCTTTTGAAAAGGATCATTTCTGTCTTCTTAGGATTAATAGACAGTGAATGGTCCTTGCACCACTGTTCTATAATTTTTAGAGCTACTTGCATTGTTTCGCAGAGTATGTTCTTAAAATTCCTGTTTGCAGAATGACCAGATCATCTGCGTGTGCTATTGTGTAGTGACAGTCATTATTGAGGCGACTGATAATGGTGTCGAGGACCATGTTCTGGTGATAGCACCCTTCCCTGTGGACATCCCGTCGCAACCAAGCGTCTTGTAGTGTGTATAGTATATTAGGAACTCAGACCTTCACAGGGATCTGAGAGTGTCTACAGTCGAAGAAGAGAGGAATACCCTCGAAAAAACCAAAAAACAAAACAGAAAAGACTGTGACCGCGTCAATATTGAAGTTTAAGAGTTCCTGGAAAACCGATACCTAATGAAAAGGCTTGGAAAGACCAAACCAGTTGAATTATTGATGTGAAAGTAGATTAAATTAGAGCACAGTGCGTGTGTGCAGTGTATAATTAATCAGGAAAGAGAAGATACCATTGGGTGAACTCTCAGTTTCAAGCATTTTAAGTTTACTTATTTTATAATAAAAACAAATTTATGTTTGGCTGAAATATAGCTAGGTGCAATGCAAACAAACAAAAAAAAAAGTTGACCAAAATTAGATACTATCGGCCATATTGCTCTCTTCAAATTTTTCGATTCTGGCAAATTTCGCACAGTGGCAAATGCTTTCTATATTACTTCTACTCTATGCTTAAGATTAAGTAAACAAATTAAACATATATGGTGCAGCATACAAATGTGTTAAAGATTGTGACAGACTCCTGGTTCACCTACAGTGAATCAGCGAGTCTGTGTGGCGCTATGAAGGTGAATCCCGAATAGGGGTTGCTCAGGCGCCAGTTTTGGTATCGCAGTTTGCTCTGCGACCCTGAAGTACACCACAGTGTACTCAAGGTAAACTCAGTGGAGGTAAAAATAATTCCAGGTGGTCACTGCTAGGTACCCACTAATAAATAAAGGAAAAGTGAGGAGCGGAAATTACTTAAAACGTCTTTTGGGGAAATTAGATACGTCATCAGGAGAGAGATCACTCTAGCCCGAGAAACGGATCGAACCTCCGAAAAAAAAAAAGAAAAAAAAAATAAAACAATAAAATAATAAAAAAATCGAAAACAGTTCGAATCTCTCACTTCGATGTTAACGGGGCGGTTTTTAAATGAAATTGGATATAGTAGTTGACAAAGAGAACCCTCGGTGTCTAGTCTAGGTCCAACCTCAAATAAAAAATTGCCAACGGTTTCCCACTAAGGGATGAAATGAAAAATGCTGGACATGAATCAAAATTATTTCACTTGTCGGACGGGTGTTCCAAACTAATTGTTAATAAAAAAAATAAGCGCTTTCCTACCTTTAGAAAAATAAACGGGGTTGATCGATGAACTAAATTACGGTACTCACGGCACTAGGTACTAACTAAGGGTGAATAGTTTTCGGCTGTCGGCAATCACGAGAGAAGAGCTTACGGCGGCTGTCAAGCGAGAAGAGGGCGTAATTCCCAGATGGGATTTAATTAATGCTTTTTCGGTAAAGCAAGATGGAAGACCAGTAGGCCCAAGTGGGGATACCACCACTACAGCTGACTGTTTACAATTTAGAAATAAAAAAAAGTCCTTCTAGTACCTTGACAATTAAAAGTAGATAATCCATACGAAATCGACTCTAAAAATGCCCATTCGGATTTCGGCAAATATAAGAATATTTTAATCTACCAGGGTACTCGCAATTGCTAAAAAACGGTAATTTCTGGGAAACAGAAATACGGGGGAACTTCTACATGTTCTCAGGCTGGAATTAATTGAAATATACATTTTTAAGATGAATTAAAAATAAAATTTTGTGACTTCGTCACAAGATAGTAAATAGAAATGTGAAAATAAATTGAAAAAAATACAAGAACGTGTTACCTTGAGTTGACTTTTTAAATAATCCATTCTAGAAGCTATATCAGAGCCGATTTTTTTGACAGCCTTGTTTTCTATCTGCCTTTGGTTTAACGCTTTTAGCAGCATTTCTTGTTCCGCTACCATATCTCTGGCGAATTCCATGGCTTTATGAAGTTGTTTCTTTAAGGCACTTCTCGAAAGCTGCACTCCGTTCAGGTTGTGTTCGATTTCTAACTGTTTCGTTTCCAATTTTCTACAAAATATTTTTTCTACGATCACTATCCAAATACTACCGCAAAGTTGACGTTTTCCACGAACTGGCATTTAGTGACAGATTTGTCGCTCACCGAGCGGAAAACTTGACAGCTTTGTTGTTCGCCTAATTTAAATTAGATATAAAATAATATTTCTTTTTAATAAATGTTCTTCAAGTTATTTGTACCTAGTTTGATGTTTTTTGTTTTATTATCCACGTTAATATTGATTTTAAATATCAACTCCGTTTTTCATTATTAACGTAGATATAGGCAACACATTATACACTATTTACGACAAATTTCCAGTTTTTGTATCTATTTGTTAAAATAATGTGATCGTAGAAAAAATCTTGTGTGCATTATGAGCGAAAAGTTCGTTGCCGCTTTCTGTTTCAAGTGGAAAAGTAACATTTTTTGCTCTTAATACACAAATAGCTATTTTCATACTCAATTCACAAAGCATTCATTTTTTTTACTTACTTTATTTGTTTTTCTAAATGGCTAACGTTATTTTCTAACTTTTCTTTTATACTGTTCAAATTTCCTATTTCTTTGTTTAAATCTTCTATCGTTTTAACGTGCGATTCGATATTTTTAACTAATTTTTCTTTTTCTGCTTCGTACTGAAGTTTTAATTCTTCGTACCACCTAAAAATGGACGACGTTTCATTAATTTGTAACATTTAAGTTTTATTTCAAATAAAAAAATTCGACTCTGTACATTTTTATATATTTTTTACTTTGGAAACTAATAATGTACAAATATTATTTTAAAAAAAGGGACCCAGTGATGGAAATTCGAACAATTTGTGAATGTCTACTTACTTTTTACACTCGTTAACGCTAGAATTATGTACAGCAATTGGGATAAAATTATGTAACTGACTTCTTAGTTCTTCTTGGGAATTCATGCAGGATTTAGCTTTTTCCACCAAGGCTGCATTTTCAGTTTTAATTTTTACATATTCACCGTGGAGCACATCGTAGTCACGTGTCATTTGATCAACTAAAACAGATTTTTATAAATAATGGATGGAATTAAACAGTGTTTCACCAAGCCAAGTAGCTTGGCTTAAAAACAAAAAACTTGTCTTGGCTTGAAAATCAAGCTCTTTTAAACAAAAAGCTTGGCTTGGCTTGATTTTTCAAGTCCAGGCTTGGCTTCTTTACCAAGCTTTATCAAGCTTTCAAGCTTTTTCCCTCATCTTGCCGATCACGGGCTGAGTCTACTAACCATAGAAAAATAAAAAGAGAAGGTTTGAATAAATGGCGGGACTTGTTTCCTTGTTGGTAGTTGAACCGTAAGCGCTTAGCGCGCTGCTATCACTAAATTCAAACCCGTTTTACACCCATAAAAAAATATGTTTTCAAAAATAATGAACAAGAAATCAATAATTTTACTGATTTACCCCTTTAAATTTCACTTTAAGATAATGTGTGATCAAATAGAGGGATAATCGTTAACAAATTTAAAGTTAAAGCTAAATTTAAATATTATTAGATGGTGTAAATCTGGCTTTGAAAATAAATTAGGTTATGTTGCTATAAATATGTCAGCCTGATATTATTTTCATTTTCAAATGCTGGTGATATTTTTTTCAAATGTAGGTGAGTAAATTGTATTAATTAAGTGTAAGTTAGATTTAACTAATTTAACTATAGGGAGGTTCTTAAGAAAATCATTAACAATTCATTTAAATTTTAATTGCAGAAGTAAGTATTTTTCTCACAAAACTAACAAGAAATTTTATGTTTTTCCTGCTATTAGAGATAAATGGATCCACAATTTAAACATTTGTGGTCAAAAAAATGAAAGGAGTTGTGAGCGAACTGTGTGAAGCCAATTTACAAACAAATATTATAGAACCTCATCCTAGTTTTACTAATAAAGACCATGATGAAAAAAGGCCAATGATTTGTGCTCAAAAAATTATTGTCCAATTTTTGGGTGATATTCATTATTATATTTATCAAATAATACCCAAATATGTTCAAAAACTTATATGCTATTTAGGTCAACTTGTTAATTTTTGCTTAGTTCACATATTAAGATCATAAATCAGATATGTTTTCTATTTTTATTGAAATTTTTATACCTTTTATTGCAAGAAAAATGTAAAAATTTAAAAAAGTTATGACTCTTGTTAATTTTTAATTTTAAGACACACTGCACCTTTATTTTTGTTTTGTTTTAGATATTCCTCGGTATGGAGATTTTTGGAATGTACATAAATGTGTTTCTTAATTAGGGTGAGTTTCAAAGCCCACTTGTATTGAAGCTGGAGGCTTATTGTACCCGAAATAGGCATTACAACTATTCTAGATTGAAATAGACGCGGAAAGGCCTTAAAGGGACAATAAGTATAAGAATATTAGAATTAGAATGATTTGTCCTTGGATTAATAAGGGATATTTAAAACATTAAAACAATTGTGTTTATAAATGAACTACTTTGACTTTTTATAAAAACTATATCCGGTTTTTTTAATAACAAAAACATTGTCATGTGCTATGCTGGTTATCATATTATATTTTTATTTTTCAGTAATTTAGTGTGTGATATAGTGCTTGTTATGTTCAAAATGAGACACATGTAATTACATGGTAATTCTAAATAAATTAAACTTGTTAAAAATGTGTTTTATTTTTCAACTAATTTTATTTTTCAGTTAAAACAAGTGACATTTTCCATTTTTCAACATTTACCTACAACAAAAATTCACTAAACTTATTGTTTGTTTAGTAGTTGTAAGTAAAAGTTGTCAAATAGGAAAATGTTACTTCAAAGTGCTTCAAATTCTAAATTATTAAGCCCGCCAATTTTTAAATCGCTCTAATTAGTAGTGTTCTACTTTATCGGCTGAAACTGACAGGTGTAGTTCAACCGTAAGCGCTTAGCGCGCTACTGTCGAGGTCAAGACTTGTTACCAACTATTTACATGGAATCCAACCCCCGTGCTACTAACCGTTCTCTCGCCGCCCTTTGTTTTAATGTTCAATTCAGTCACTGCTAGCCTTTCGAAGCAAGTATTTACAAATCTGAACGCCACCAATATATCAGATATCGAGGAACCCTTTCAAGACAGCGGATTTGAATATGTGGTAGAGGAAGCGGAAAAATTGTCTTCTAGCAGTCCTCGCGAAGAATATATTCGAATTAAGTCCCGAAAAAGAATTTAAAACATAAAGGTCTCTAATTTTTTTTAAATTAGTCAAGAACAGAGCAAAACAGACAAAACAGCAGTATGCACTTTGTGTACAAGAAAATCAACACTAATTAAAATGAAAAATGGAGCAACTAAGTCTTTAAAAAGACATTAACAAAGTAAACATAAGGATTCTTATAAAAAAGCCTTTCCGCAGGAGAAAAAATTTAATCCAAATCCAAATAGCTCTGTTATAAGCTTGTACTGATACAGAAATATATGTTAAAAATAAATGAAGATCGATAATGATAAGATTTTATACCTAAATTACCTCTTTTCTTTAGGAGTCTCTTTCTATTAAATGCACATCCTAAGAATTTCCTTATAGAATATTATATGGATTATTATATGGATTATTGGTAGTTCATTAAAAACAGGGGCCAATTATACGGTTACCAAAAATGCCAGCCCAAACATTCAATTTTTCCGGATATTGCGTATGCACTTCATGAAATATTCTGGGATTTGAATCGAACCAATAACAACAGTTGTGACGATTTACCAATCGTTTTATTTTTTCCTGTTCTGCGTCTGTTGTCGCTAAAATTTTTACTTCGATATCTTTTCTATTTTGATTTAAATTTCCTATGTTATTGAAAGTTAGTAGCTTCTCTTTTGTATTCTATTACATCTGTACTAGTTTTAGTATAATTTTTAGACAAAATAAACTCTAAATGGTTTGCAACAAAATCATTTTACACAATAACATAAAATAAAAATTGGCACTGATAAGATAATAAAGTATTATTTTAAATAAACTAATAAATGTTTAATTTATTTTAATAACTACTTTTATTACCGGTACTGTATACTTTATTACGTGTAAAATTGATTTCATGGGTGGCAAAAAAATGGAAATGTTCGTTTTTATCGTTGTGATTATGGGTGAGTCTATTTTTTTTAAGTCTTGTTTTAGTTCAAATCAGAAATCAATTTTCCTTAAATTTTACGGTAAAGATTATTAATAAAATGTACTGTAACAGATATTATATAAAATATACCTATCTAAGCATCTCTTAAATTTAATAACGACAAAATTAATTTTCTTGAAAATGACATTGATCTTTTTAAAGATCAATATTTTATGTATAAATGAAATTGGCATTAAAGCTGATTACCTAAATTTAAATAGAATAAAAATTTTAAAATAATTATATTTTACTGCAGAACAAATTAAAATTGTAGAAATACTAGTATTTGGATGAAAAACTTTGATAACGTGAAATCTATAGATCTGTCCACATTCTGTATAAAAAAACACTTCGAAATATGTGTTGTATCTTACAAAGTTATTAAAATTGTTCATACTATTTTAAATTGTTATCAATCTTCTAGAGATATTAATATTTTTTTAAATCATATTTCTGAGATCATATACAGGGTGTTATTGAAATACACGTACATATTAAAACTGGGTATTGCGCAGATCCCCACTGAATGTAGAAAAATATTATTTTTTAAAAATACCCCTTATTAAGGGAGTTATTAATTTTTGAAAATTAATTCTAAAACAAACGTACTTCACTGATATGTTGAGGATGACCTATATAAATTAGGTTTATTTACTTATTTTAAACATCAACAGTAATTAATATGCAAGTTTTTGTCAGATGATAAGAAAACTAGTCTTGTAAGAAATAACCATGTTGCCAAGATTTTCGAATTAATTTCTATTTCCGAAGACTGGTTTTTACTACCCTCGTTATCAAAAAACTAGAATATTTGATAAATGATTGTTTTTAAACTATACATTTTTGAAACTATAGATTATTAAAATTTTAGTTGATTTACGAATCTGGCTAACACGAGCGCGTCATTTCCAAGTTGGTAAAAAGTGTTGTTACGATTACTTTTAAATATTTTTTTACGATGCCACTATTTACGAATATTGAACTAACGGATATAGTGCTGGTTTATGGGGCAGCTGGAGAAAATTCTCGGCAAGCACAAATCCTGTATCGCGAACGGTTTCCAAATCGGAGAATTCCGAACTGTCGTACGTTTATTTCAACTGTTCAGCATCTAAGAGACCATGGAAAATTTGAGAGTGTCAATGCAGATCGAGGGAGAACAAGAACACAAAGAACATTGGCGGCCGAAGAAGAAATATTGGAAGCTGTTGAAAACCGGCCTCAATTAAGTTGTAGAAGACTAGGTCTTGAAATTGGAGTGTCCTCATTTGTTGTGTGGCGGACACTTAAAGAACAAGGTTTACATCCTTATCACATCCAAAAAGTCCAGGCCTTATATCCAGGTGATGAAGAAAAGAGAGTGGAGTTTTGTGAATGGATGATTCAAAAATGTGTTGATATTCCTGATTTTCTAAAAATATTATTGTATACTGACGAGGCTTCATTCACTCGTGATGGCGTGTTCAATATGCACAATACGCATATTTGGAGTGATGAAAATCCTCACGCCATTAGGGAAACTGGGTATCAAAGAAAATTTTCAATAAATGTTTGGGCTGGCATAATAGATCAGTATTTAATCGGGCCTTATGTTCCCCCGAACAGATTAAATGGGCCAGGATATCTCCACTTTTTAGAAGATATTTTGCCAGTACTCCTAGAAGAGATACCGTTACAATTAAGGCAACGGATGTGGTACCTACTAGATGGCGCTCCTCCTCACTTTGATTTAAACGTACGGCAGTTTTTGAACATTAGATTTCCTCAAAAGTGGATAGGCAGAAATGGACCTACTAAGTGGCCTCCGAGATCTCCGGACTTATATCCATGCGATTTCTTTTTGTGGGGTCACATGAAACAACTGGTTTATAATGAACCTATTAATAGTG